AGCTGGTTTTAGCTGCACTGCGTGAAGAACTCAAATGGCAGGGTATTAACGAATTGTCGTGAGTTGGTCCCCCGCCCTGCCACGCCCCGCTTGTAGCACTCTTGTGGCATTCGTATTGAACATTTTTCTTGGGTCGATGGCACTGTATTTAATTGAAAACTGCTGCAGTTCCGTTGAAGCGTGTTGCACAGTTGCATGTTGCATGTAGCACAGTTGCACAAGTTCTATGCCCACATTTAATTTGAAAATTCCTCTAGTTTTTTGTTGCTATGCAGCAGGCAAAAACAAAACTACAAACGCTGCTGATTGTTTCATATTAAAAGCGTGTGTGTAACAGCAGCAGCAACAACAACAACAACAACAACAACAACAACAACAACAAGAACAACAATATTAACAACATACGAGCGATGATGAAAAATCGCCAGCAACATGTTGGATGCTGCTGGGCAAAGCTGCCAGCCCGTAAGGCTGGGGCTGAGGCTGAGGCTGAGCTGCGGCTATGCGGCTCCCATCTCCGGCTGAACATTTTTACTGCCCGCTGGCAGCTCCGACATCAACTCCAATTACAGAAGTACACGCAGGCGTCTCTCTTATGATTCCTAGTTTTCTTCTCCTTTTTTTTACATTTTTAATATGGTTTCCCTCATGTCGTGCGGGCTAGAAAAGAAGAGTAGAAACCCAAACGAAACGGTTGCATGTCGTTATGGAATTGTTAACCATCTGGAAACCAAGTGCAAGCAATGACAACGCAGCCAATGAATGCAGATACATGTAAAAATTGTTTACTACAAGTAAGAAATTGATAAATAGCAATACAAGAGTAATTTTGATTCAACTCAAAAATGTTTGTTATCGCAATGAAATCTGAATATTATGCATTACATTTTAGTATTAATCAAATTATTTATACAAGTGCGCTTTTCCTTTTAAGTTTTTAATTTTGTGCGCCTATTAATACATTTTTTTAATACATTTATTTTTTTTTTTAAATAAACAATTTTGTCAAACATTAATGTTTCTTTCAGCATGTTTTAAATTGTGTCTAAAGAAACATGTCTTTTAGCGGGCATATACAATTTCTTGAATATATAGACATAGACAAAAATTGTTTTTTTAAGGGTTACTTATTTATTTAAGGTACAAATTCAATCATAACCAAGATTGATAAATTTAAAGACATACTTTATCGGAGTGTATTAAATTGCTTACAAAAATTCCATAATAATACTTGAAAATAATAAAATCATAAAAATACACGTATCTATGCATATTTATTTGATAATGGTCGATAAAAACGAGTGTCTTTCTAAATACTTAAAACATTAAATTATGAAAATAAAATGTTAAATGATAAAGTACTGAATTATACAGTCTTAATTCCGAAGCATGTATATCTGAAGAATTGCTTGAATTTATTCTCGAACATTATCGAAATTTAACAAAAAGAAATTTTATCATAATTTCGACAAAATATTGCTCTAACTTTGTTAAATTCATCTACACAAACAATAGTTGCATATTTATTAACGCAAATATTGATATACCCATTTTGAAAATATGTTAATTTATAACGAATAGAATATGGTCATAATTAGAGTTATGTCAGAAAGTTTCTTGAATATACTTGCATATGGAAGTATTAAGTTTTACTCTTGACATAAACAATTTATCTTAACGAATTCAAATGTAAATCTCAAACAAAAAAAAAAATGAATATATACTCGTTTGTGTATTTCTTGTTTTGCTCTTTTGGAATTTGGTAGCAGGTCCGAAATTGATTTTTAATTAAGGCATTTAACCAAACTTGATGCCAGAGCCAGACCCAGCCCAAAAGCTCGTAACCCGAAACCGAATGAATCATAAGAACCCCAAGACGTCGCCAGACAATGTGGCCAATAAATTTAAATTCCGATTCCAAATCAGATTCAAAACTCGAGTGCAAACGAGCTCATTTTAAAGAGATGCAAACAAACCAAACCTTGAAGCAAGGTAAAAAATAAAAATCTCATTTGTCGCTTGTTTTATTTTATTTTTATTTTTTTTAGTTTTCTGGAACATTTCGGTGGTAGAGGAGCGCTGTAAAATTTTGAACGCAGCCAATAAAAATGGAAATGATGGCGCACAGAACGAAACGTTTATAAAATAATAATGCGAAATAATAATGTGACGGTGATTTAGCGGAACAGCGCCACGATTGAATACAAATAAAGTGCCTGGACGCGCAGGAGGAGCTGGGGGCTAATGGTGGGCATAGGGATGGCAACTTTTGGGGTAGCGGGACGCACTAATCTAGGATGATTTCAGCCTAATCTGGAGCAAAAAACAACAAAGCTGCTGCCGAGCTCAAAGAGAGCGGTCGAATTGAAGAGGCGTGCGCGGGGTAGCTGACGTTAACGTTGACGTTGACGTTGACGTTGAGTGGCAGGCAATCATCTGCGTCGTCCAGCGTCCAACTACCTGTTTCTGTGCCGTTTCTGTTTGCCAGCTGTGGCTGGCGTGGAGCCGCCGCCGTCGCTGCTCCGCCATAGGCCGTTGGTCCAGGCCGTGCGGCACCCCTGAAGCATAAATCAAAGCGAGAGGCGTGGCTTAGCTGAGTGCGAGCGAGCGCGACTGATTTTCGAACATGCGCACACTGTGTGCAGCTCACTCGCACTCGCCGTGTGCAAGCTAAATGATTTACAGTTTTCGAATACTCATACAGTCGCATGCTCACTGGGACTCGGACTCCACTCCGGCATACACCGAAAGGCTCTGTCAAACGTGAATCGAACGTGGCGCACTCAAGTACGCCAGCTGCGCGCTCGGTACCCGGTTAAATTTAATCAAACTTCCATTTACACACTGGAAATATTCGTATTATTAGTCGCGAAGTACTACACGTAGCTTTCAGGCGTCGGCAAAATTGCACAAAACTTATGCTATCAATGGAATATTTCGCTTTAATCACAGTGAATCTAAGGGATAACTAAAAGGAACTCAGGCCTGAGGATATATGCAATACCAGAAATACTAATATTGGAATTTCCGTAGTTCTTATACAAGTGAAAAATTTTAAAATCTTTAAAAATGCCAATAAAATTGGAGAATGTCACGACAATTGCGTAGACTAAACAAGTCAAGTGTTTTAATGTATTCAATACATAAATATTTTTGAGTGTGCTACAAAAAAGCAAATACAATACATACTTTAAGTGAAGTGCTTAATAAAATTAAGTTTTCGAAGCAACAACACTCCCGATTGGATTTCAAAACTATAGGTAAGCAACAGTCCCAATATATAACAACTTGTATGGGGAAAACAATAGCAAGTGGATCAATAGATTGGCTATGTAGAATATGAATTCTGAAATTCATCAAAAATAAGGTATAAAACTGCGGGGGCGTTAGTCAATAAACTTCTTTAGAAAAAATTCATAATAATAACAAAAACAATTCAAGATAAACACGCAAAAAAATATTTATAAACAAACAATTTATTCTGCGAATCTTATCGAGCTGAACTGTTTATGTTTGATTCTCAAAAAAACCCTGAGAAAATATTCAATTTGTCCTTTAGTGCCTTTAAAATACATTTGTTTTGTTTGGCAATTCAACGCTGAAATGAACTTTAACTTTCTCGGCTGTTATCAAACTTTTTCGGCTGCACACACATACACACACTAGCCAGGTTGCCGAATTCGAAGTTCGAATTTCAAGCGATCCCTTCGTGTACGTGAGACACACGTACAGTGTACGTGAGATCAATAAGAATGTTCGTGAGCAAGTCGAAATAGAATGCTTTCGCACTCGAAGAGCGTAAATAAATTCGAACCGGCTCTCTTTCGAACTCACACACACACGCTCTCACTGTTGTTTGCGGCTACACATTTCTGCGTCCGCAAAGGTAACAACAGCAGACCAGCAGCAACGAGTGCGAATGAGACAGCAGCAACCGCATTTAATGCTGTCTGACTGCTCTAGCACGCATGACCCGTTCGAATTTAGTTTTTTTATACGCGACTGTTTAATGAATGCACTCGAATGAATGTGTGTTTGCCACTGCCATGGCATAGCAGTAACTGTGTATGTGTGTGTGTGTGATTGTGTGCGCCTCTACTTGCTCGTACTCGCAGCTACAATTGGCGGCGCTGGCGCTGCGCGTTGCATGAGTTTTTTATTGATGCTCAGATATTTGAATTATGCCCGAGCAGTCAAAGTGAGACATTGGCGCTTCGAGCACGTATTCGCGGATACATTCATCGAAATAGAAACAGAAACAGAAACCGAAAACTTTTGGCCGTGGCTAAACAATCCGTCAATCCGTCAAAGCATTCGCTAGCTCCGCGAATCGTGCGGCTCTCTGCCCAGCAAATACAATAACAAAGACGCGCATCCGTTGGATACAAGAACAGTCGCGGATACAGATACATTGCACGACGCGCAGCGCTGACTTTGAGCGATAATAACGGAAGATGGATGGGCAGCTAAGTGTTTTCAGTGCCAGTGTTTTCATCGATGACGTTTAAAATACATTCGCGCTGATGGATACCATAAATTCGGCGTGAACTACTCGCAGATACACTGCGAATCCTAATGAGATTTAACTACGCTCTTCAACCGGCCGCAGCCCAACTAGAACTGTGACAAATTACGTGCCTGCCCGCTGCGGCTAATTACGGTTTTAAAATCCGCCAAACGTCAAGTGCAAAAATAAACTCACAGAACTAACAGCAGGTAAAAGTAAAACCCCGCCAAACCTCGGTATGCAAACGGATTAACCTGAAACGATGCGGGCTTAATCGGTATTTGGCAATTAGCTAAAGGCCAAAAGTGATCGAACACGGAACTGTTTCCGCCCTTAACTGCAGTCATCGCAAATATTGTTAACAATTTTTCACAATTTGTGAGGTGAATAATATACAAATAAAAATTGCCTACACTTACGCCCCACTAAATGTTTAACGCCGTCGGATAAAAATTGTTGAAGTGAATGCACTTTATGAGACTAAAATTGATTCTACAATTTTAAGAAAGCAAAGGTAAAATTCACTTCCAAGTGTTTGAAAATGAATACTTTAACACATTTTATCAGCAGTTTTTTTTATTATTATTGAAACGAAGTGCAAAAAATGTATTTAGTAATAGTTTTGCCCACTAAGGAATCTGCCGTAAGGTCTGTTTAATAGTTTAACCTAAATATAATATATTTAAATTGATAGCTAAAGCAGAACTCAAAGCAGATATTTATTTTTCACGCAAAAATATAAGAATGTAAAATTCTAACAATTCTTTGAATGGTAGACGCCTATTTATCCAAAAATTGAACACTTAAAATAAAATTAGCCTTGAAAAAATATTAAACAATATAATATGTATATATTTAACATATGCATATTTCTTCGAATTAAAAGAAGGCATGCATATCTTTTTTACCTTAGTGCTTTTCAACTACTTTTAATGTCTGTCTAATAAAATTGGTTAGTTGAATGTAAGAAATAAAATATTATTTATTCCAATATAGTAAGGTGCAAATGCATCCGATTTAAAAAATCCAATGTACCCTATCTATTCCTTATGTAAAGTTTATTGGTTAACAACAAATATATATAGATTCTTCAAAACTTATTGGAATCAACTTTTTCTTCTTCAGAAGAAAACAAAGCACATCATTTGACAAATATCTTTATTGTGTGCGACAATCATTGCATCTGCTAATCTAAATTTATATTTTGCTGAATATTCTTGTGAATTAGAAATTTTACAGTCTATAGCTTTCTTCGGCAGTCATATTTAAATGATATATTTGAAACAAGAATATATATATTTATATATAAATAGCAGCATGTAAATGTGCATTACTATCGAATGGAGTCGCATCTTGTAATAAATTCTTTAATCTTTGAACAATTAGAACTAGTGAAAATATTTTTTTAATATCCCATTCTTGTATGAACTGAATTGAATCTTCAAATCGAATTGATGTATTAAATGGCATACAGTGGCAACCTTCAATTAAATTATGCTGGAAGCCCAAACAGAACTCCTCAGTGCTTGGTCTAATCCAATTTGCTGTTGTTCTGTTCCATTTTTGTTTTGGGTTGCGTGCGCGATATCAACGCAAAGAATTTTCACTTCATTAAAACGAATGCAGCCGTTTTTGAAATAATTAAGAGCTACAAAGGCGAAATGTCACAGCGAATGAAAAATGCCTAACAAGCAGCCACAAACTACCTACTATACCTATCACATATAAATATATATATATAAATATGTAGCTATATAATACATGATGTATATAGCTGTATGTATCTAAAATGTAAATAGTTTTTGGGAAACCACAGACGTTATACATAGGAATTGCGTGCCCAGCCATCACATGGCCGGGAAGTCATGCTGACCAGACCGAAACTCGAATTATGTTAAAATGTGACTCTGAGCTGCGCCCAAGAACACGTCTTCCTCTCACTAGACGCATTGATATGGAACGCTAACAGAGACCCATTGAGGGTGCCCACCGGGCGCCCATGGTGCGCCTAGGCCAATTTCGCTGCATGTGCACTTCTTTTAATCGCTCCGATCCCTGCCCTGATCCCTCACACATGGTAGCGGGCCAGTGAGAGTGGGTGAATCGTATTGCCACTTGATGTAGGTCACTTTCATTTGCATGCGCTCTCCCAGAGGGTGGTCGAGCAGATCTAAGTGCCCTCAATGGGCTGTTGCATAATGTGGACACAACACAAAGCCTGCTGCTGCTTGTGCTGCCCGGCGAGTTAATTGGCTGCCTAGTTGTGCACACACACTCATACTCACACACACACACACTGGGTCCAGGTCCAAGTCTGAATTTGTCTGAAGTTTTTGTTTGGCTTGTCAGCGCTTGAATTTATGCCATCATCATTCGCGTTTGGCCTGCGCCTGGAGCTCACATTCATCATGGTACTGGTCTGCGACTGGGACTGGGACTGGGCCATGACCCAACAGCGGGCTAAAATGTCATGATGATATTACAGCTTTACCTATTTATATTTATAAATCAAAATACCGACAAAAAATAAATGTATGAAACACGCAAACTTTGCCGCGACTACAGCCATAACAACAACAACAACAACACCAACGACAACAACAACGACAACAACAATGCCTGCATAGTTGTTGATGTTGTTGGGGAGTCGTTGATCTATTGGGGCGACGGCAGCCATTTGCTCAACTTTGTATTTGGATGTGTAGGTACAATAAGTGCCGGGACACATTTATTTTCGACGACTCCGGCAAACGGCAGAAGGAGACGTCAACTTTTCATCCTGGCTGATTTCTATGCCGTGCACCTTGATAACAAATTTGTGATTTACTTCTTCTTCTTGTTATGCATTCACAAAGCGATGAAATTTGTTTATCTAATATAAAATGTTGAAGGTATGAAAGCTAGAGTTCAATATAAAGCAACACTTGAAAAGGTAACCTAAGCCTTACCTAGATTACATTAGCTGGCTTACGAATCCAGATTTATATAATGCTTTGTATCGTATACCGATTATATTGAGCTCAAAAATATAACAAGAATGAAGGGAACGCAGATAAAATACCCTTGTAGACATAGTTTTGCAGATAAGTGTAGAGTTTGTTGAACATTTCCTAAAAAATTGATAAGCTTTTGCACGGATACAATAAGTGTAGTGAAACTAGAAAATGCTTTGTTTCGTCAAAAAATCTTGTAAAAAGTTTCATGACTATAGTCTAAAGACTAAAAGAGTATTGTTTTAGAATTGAAATACCTTTTGAATATTCATAGTTCCCACTCTTTAATTTCACGCCACACATTTTTTATTTACGGTATGATCTACATAATATATCAATCACATATATAAGTTTTAGAATATTGCTGCAGCTTTAGTAATCATCTCTCTAAGGTCGCATTGAGATTAAATGTAAGCGAGCAATATAATTAGAAGCTTTAATGAGCTTTCAAAGCTCGCTTTTAAAATAAAAGCTTTTCAAATAAAGTACGAGATTAATTTAAGTGCTAGCCATTTGTTATCCTCTTCTTACAACTCTCACTATTATTGTTCAATCCTGAACACCTAATTCAAATAAGTAATAAGCAGTAGCCAAACCAATTGGGTTGTCCTTGGCTCTCGGATAGAGGTCAATGTTTTGTTTAAGATACAACAATTACATAACCGATCGTAAATGATGTGTATAACGTTGAGTGCAAGGACACAAAAGGCAAACCGCAAACATGGGAGACGACGAGCACTTTTGAGTACGTGTCAAAAGGTCAACAATGGCCGCTTGCAGCGGGGATCGAGGCAGCTCGAAAAACAAATCAAAAACAACTCATAAAAATTATGAGTACCGCAACCGCAAAACAAAACACAGACGAGGGTTGAGGCGAGAAACTGTAACAATAACAACAACAACAGCAGACTGAGAGAAAAAGAGATGGATAGAAGTGAGCGAGAAAAAAACAAATAATAATATTTATGACTACTTTTATGAGGTGCTTACAAATTTTTATGAGTTTTTAATGGGCCCACTTGCATTCGTGTGCGTTTGTCGTTCCTTTTTGGCTCATTGTTATTGCTGTGCCATAGAGAATGAATGAAAGAGAGACAGAAAGAGAGAGACAGAGAGAGAGAGAGAGATAGGCAGACCGAGTTCGAGGCATGCCAATGAGTGTGACTGCGCGTGCGCAAATACCTTTTAGAATTGTGCGACTGCGACTGCGACCTCGTCCCGTCTCGCCTCGCCTCATCTCGTCTCTTGGGTCCCTACTCGGGCGCTGGCCTGTGGCACTTTTTAGAAGCGGCATGTTTACATATACACGAGCTACGCCCATGTTGACAACAAATATTAAAAATTATGATTTATGACCAGACCCGGCCGGGTACCAGAGTACCCCGGCCTACAAACAACAACCAAACAAGGCGCGCTCGAAATCTGTAATGGTGACGACGTTGGGCGACGACAACGGGCGACATTTGTAAAAGAAATAACTGCTTAAGGTTTTGTTCGTTTCATAATTAAGAGATGGCTGGGATATGGCCTGGCCGGGATGATGATGATGATGATGTACTTGCCAACGACTGCAAAGTGCCTAGAAATGGATGACAATCTAATAACTCATATAGAATGGCGTGTAAGAAATGTTAGATTCAAAAGAAAGATGAAGTACGCAACAGACTGGTTTTGACAGCATACAAAAGATTACCTTATTACAATATATATGAAAAAAATGCAAAAAATACTTTATATATTTGAAATAGTATATAGTATAGTGGCATATACTATATATTACGAACTATTCCTATCTTATATGGTATGGTATATATTACGAACTATTCCTATCTTATATGGTACGAACTATTCCATAAATTCCTTTACTAAAGGTGAAATATGCTATGTTAGATTGGTTTCTACTTTTAGCGTGAAATTAAATGCACTCTTCTTTTAATGTATATTTCAAAAAAAGTACTCAAAGGCAATCGTTAAATAGTATATTTTAAATAAAGCGAATCATTCCTTTAAATTAAAGATAAGGTATGATTGTTAGATTTGATTTTACTATGAAAAATTATTGATAAAATATCAAGCTGCAGCATCCTTATAAAATGAAATTAATTTATTTTAATCAATTCTCTCGCCTATACGAGTTAGACGAGTTAAAGTACGGAAAGGGCAATTAGGCAAATGTCAATCAAGTTTAATAAATCCCAAAACTAAAAATGTTCTATACAAAGTGTGAACAGTATCGTTTTATATCTCTCTTTTCTATCTTACACATCGATTATGCAAAAGTTAATCATCTTAATTACAATGGACAGCCCCGATCATAAGATCGGCACCTCGAAACGTCTGCCATTGTCCTGGAGTTTTCACGAAAAGTTCCCAAAACAAGAAACCCTTTTCAGCTGTCGCATTGGGCACAAATTGATTTATGGTGACATAGAGTCGATCTGGGGGAACGTCTAGAGCTGCGCATGTGCAACTCAATTGCTGTTTATTTACTCGTACCTTCCGCTTCTTCTTCTTCGTCTTCTTCTACTTCTGCATGTATGCAGCAGCATTTACCTGTGCCGATGTCGGGCCAACATTTGGAAAGGGAAATTCGTTCTGCGGTTTAAGTATCCGTACAAGAATTTCACTCCCGTTTCGTAGGCATATTAAAAATGTTTATACAAAGGTGGCCCCGGGGCAGGGCATGGGTATAAAGGAAAATGCCCAACCGCGACGCAGACGACGAGACAAAGGAAAGTCGCTCAGTTTTGCCCGGCTTGTTCGCTCCCTCGTCTCAAAAATGTCGCTGCCCGAAAGAATTGCCATAATTTATGGCTTTCTTATGAGGCGACAATCAGCCCAGCGACCGACGAATGAGCCAGACCAGCGCCAATCTATGTATCCACTTTTATATACATATCCATATGTGTGATAATTTTTTTTTTATTTTTGGAAAGCGCGGAGAGAACCCGCAAATTCGGTTTGCGTTTTCATTATTCATGGATTTAATTAACACCAATTGAACCGCTTGTCGCCCGACTCTTTGGAAAATAATTTCCAAACTTGTATAATTTATGGCCTTTATTTATTCGGAATTTTTAATTTGCCGTTAAGTGATCGAAAAAATAAACAACCGGCGCCGCCAGTTGGGTCAACACGCATTCAATTAATTGTAGATTTAAGATGGAACTTCCATTATCCATTATATTGCAGATAGAAGAGGTTCGATTATTCGCAGCCTAATCAACGGTCATTTTAGATTGATTATTTAGGTAACTTGCGATTTAATATGATGAAGATGAAGTGATCTGTGGTTTTCCTCACTTTCTTACTTACAATATTTCCATTTAATTTTTATTTAAGATTATTCATGTAATTCCGACTTTAATGTCTTCGATTTCATAACATTGAATCTTGCCTTCCAGTTCTTGGTTTGATTTGATCTCTAGCCCCATTCCTTGGAGCAACGTCTGCAAGTCGTAGGGTCAAAGAAGTTGCTTATCTAAGCGTATAATTTGGATAATCAAATTGTTTGTATGTCGTTGGGCTAAACAGCTTGTGCTGTTTCCCGAGGGCTAATCGAAAATCGAAACTTAAGCGAAATGCCGTTACAATTGCTTTAAACTCCATAATCTTCAAATACCCAGGGCCGTATGCGAATTTACAACGTTTTCGGGAACGCTGCTCATCAAATAAATCTCTGTCGAGCATTGGCCCAGGCCACCGGTTGCCCAGTTGTGGCCAGTTTTATCTGAGAACCCGCCAGGCCAAGCCGGGCCAGGCCTGGCCTGGGACAGGTATAGGACCGGGGCCAGAGCTCAAGTCGAGGCCCGTACGGCGATTTAATTTAAAGCTTCAACTCCTTTCATTTGGACAACATGCTAAAGGGTTAAATTGCCCACTGAATCAAAATTATTGGTTTCATACGAAGCGCCCAACATGAAGGAGAAGCCGAAGCAGAAGAAGAAGCAGTGTAGAGAATAACAAGAAGAAGATACTGAAGAGAGCAAAATATTTGCTTGCAGAGGTCGTTGCATTGTTTTTGGGCAATGGTTTCTTCATCCTCTTCTTTTTTTCGGCCATGTTCATGCGCTCCGTGCATTGGCATTGGCTTCCTCGTTGCCTGCTGCTGGCCTGGTCCAACACTTGGCCTGGTCTCTGCCATTGCGTTTTGTACTTTTCGGCTTTGGGGCTATTTTGTGCCAAGCTGTTGTTTCGATTTTTGGCCTAAACAAAACGTTGCAATCGTGGCCGCTTTTGTGGCTATCTCCGCTGCAGCGGCCCGAAATACAAGTTTTTCTTCATTCAAACAAACACTCTGCCAGCCAGCCATACAGCCTGGCCAGTCCGCTGTATCAGCGATGGTGTCCAACTCCGAGCGGGCCTTTGTTTGCGCCCAGGCCCGGGCACAAGTGCAGCCGCAAGTTCGCGCAAGTGTCCAAGCAACGAGAGTGGGCGGGTCAGGCATTCCTGGCCTGGGCCGAGCTGTGCCACATCAAAATTGCATGCACGTAATGCCAATGCTTAGGCATATCCGCGCCTGCCCATCGGCTCAAGTGAAATCCAAACAGTTTCGCCCCGCGACTCCCCCACTCCGGAAGCAGGCAGCACCCAGTTGTTTTGGCCAAGGGAAATTGGGTTCTTAGCCGCTTCGAAAATAATTGTAATAATGATGCTCAGTAGGAAATAGCAGCTCCATTGAAATTACGAGCCCTAAGCAGAATACTTATTACAATCTATAAAAGAGATAATCATTTTCGAGTACAAATCTTTATTTCAAATAAAAATCCAAGAAATTATTATGTTTTTTGACTACTTTTTTATTTTAAATAAAAAGTTGAATTAATTTAACTTATGAGTTAATTTAAATTTGAAAAAAGACAGTTAAGAAAACCCAAGCTAAAAATTATATATTTGTGGTAAATCGATGGAGCTCACCTTTCCTTTTCCCAAAAATACACATTTAACCACGGTGCCTGCAAGAAATACACAGTTTGTTAATAAATGCGAAATAAGATTATTTTAACTTTATGCTAGGTCTCAATACTATTCTTATCTGCAACTAATGCAAATATTGAGAAGGCACAGAAGCTCTTTGAGCAGCAAAGCTAATCGGGAAGTGGGATCTGCATTGGGCGGGGTTTAGTAGACTACACCTAAAGCCATTTGCAATCTGTAGTGTGCATCTTGCCGCCCCTGAGCTCGAACTGGCACTGGAACTGTTGCTCTAACCACTGCATTTCATTTCAGATAGAAATCTTAGTGTACCGGCCACAAAATGGATCCCGACTGCTTTGCCATGTCCTCGTACCAGTTTGTCAACTCACTGGCCTCCTGCTATCCGCAGCAGATGAACCCGCAGCAGAGTCATCCGGGCGCCAATGGCAGCACTGGCAACAGCGGAGGCGCGGGCGGTGCGAACGGCGGGCAGGGTAACTCGGGTGCGGCGACGCCGGGGGGCAACGACTACTTCCCAGCAGCAGCCGCCTACACGCCCAACTTGTATCCGAACACACCGCAGGCCCACTATGCGAACCAGGCGGCCTATGGTCTGGGCGGCGGAGGCGGGGCGCCGGGCGGTGGGCAGGCCAATCCCGATATGGTGGACTATACGCAGCTGCAGCCGCAACGGCTGCTGTTGCAGCAGCAGCAACAGCAGCAGCAGCACGCCCATGCGACGGCCGCCGTTGTCGCCCAGCAACAACAACAACAGCAGCAGCAGCAGCAACAGTTGCCGCAACAGCAGCAACAACTCCCGCAACAACAACAGCAACAGCAGGCGAGCATTAGCTGTAAATACGCCAACGATCCGTCGACGCCTGTTGGCAACAACAACAATAACAACAGCGCCAACAGCAACAACAACAACCAGTCGCTGGCCAGTCCGCAGGATCTCTCCACGCGCGACATCTCCCCCAAGCTATCGCCCAGCTCCGTGGTGGAGAGCGTAGCCCGTTCCCTCAACAAAGGCGTGCTCGGCGGCAGCCTGGCCGCCGCCGCCGCCGCCGTGAGTCTTAATAACAACCACAGCAGTGGCAGCGGCGGTGGTGGCGGAGGCGGAGGCGGCGGTGGCGGTGGCCCCGGACCCGTCAATGTGAATGTGAACGTGCCCATGCACAGTCCGGGCGGCGGCGACTCCGACTCGGAGAGCGACAGCGGCAACGAGGCGGGCAGCAGTCAGAACAGCGGCAACGGCAAGAAAAATCCGCCACAGATCTATCCATGGATGAAGCGAGTACATCTCGGACAGAGTAAGTCAAAGAAATTGATTTATTTATTTTTAAATTTTTACTTCCAACAACATATAAAACACAAATATTTCAGTTTTATTTTAAAGAAAGGTTTGTGTTTTGATAGATTTTTTGCAAAACATTTTTCATATATATAAGGTTACACTGATTTTAGGGATAAAAGCTGTAAATGGAAAATTCTCTTTGTGTTGTAACCGAAAAGATTAAAGAGCTTCTTTGAATTATTTATTTATGAATTATATTTATATATAAATATGCTATACATACATCTGTACATAAATATAATTAATATATATAGTCACAATTAAAAAAAACAAGTAAGAGGTTCTAGTCGGGAACTCCCGACTTGGGGATACCCTGAACCCTCTTCTTCCAACAACAAATGGCTATATATATTCTATTTTAGAAGAAATATGTCAAGTTTGGTGACTCTATTTTACCAAAATTGCCCAAAAACATGATATCGATATCGATTTTTATCGATTGCTTGGAAACGTGGTACATTATCGATTATCGGAAACAAACTCGATCTGCGCGGGAACTAGGAGCACCTACATCTAGTCTCTAGCTCTTATAGGTTCTGAGATCCTTGCGTTCATACATACGGATGGACGGACGGACAGACAGACGAACATGGCTAGATCGACTCGGCTATTGATGCTGATCAAGAATATATATACTTTATGGGGTCGGAGATGCTTCCTTCTGTATGTTACATACATTTGGCTTTCGCACAAATACAATATACCCTTATACCCATTATTAATGGGTTCAGGGTATAAAAATTTTCAGTTTTTTAATTTGATCACACTGGTGTAAAGATTTTTTACAATTGCAATATTTTAAGTCCGATTTTGTTTTGGATATATTTGTTTTTTAGATTTTTTGAATATATTTTTTCTCAATTCCAATGTGTACTAACCAAACAGGATTACACATTGTAATCTTATAAACAAGAACGCTTGATTTGGCTTTAACTGAATATTATAATTAAACAAAACGAAGAGCCAAACTTAAATAATTGCTGAGTTACTTGACTTAATAACTGATTTAAATGAGTGTGTTTGAACAATTACGAGTACCTGTGCCCGCTTTGCCGCACTCATTCGTATGAGTTTTGTAAGCGAGTCACATGACTGGATGCGGGGGCAGGGGCTACTCGGAGTATCTCCAGCACCAAATTGTCTGGCAAACTGAGCGCGCGGGGCAGCTTGTCAAAATACATAAACAATAACAAAAGATTTCCCTCACACTAACACTTGCCCATTTTTCTTGCGGCGCTGCGTGAAAACTCGACCGCGAAAATCGCAGCGCGTGAAATTGTAAACAAACGTATGCCGCCTGTTCCACCCCGAGCAGATCGAGCTCCCCGCACACGGACAGCCGGCACCCGCGGCTAATGCCGACAGACTCCCACAATAACTCATAATACCGAATACCTAATGCAGATACAGATAGAGATACGGCTGGAGCACAGATACAGGCCGAGATACTGTTGATATGAATCTCGCACCTCTCGCTCCGTTTATATTTAAATTCTCTAAATTTCATGAAAAATTGTTACGCCTAATGCTGCCTAGTGCTAGAGACTGTGCATTCTATAGATACACTCTGCTCTCCGCACAATAAAATTGTGAGACGAAAAATTGTTCAGCGATTTTTCATCATGTCAATGGCGCGCACATAGATTTTTCGTTAACACTCCAAACACTCCCCCACCCTGCCTCCGCCACCAGCCAGCTTTGCTGACCCCTTGGCGGGGAAACTCACGACGAAATTATTGCTGGTCTTAGGCATCATCGAATTTATTGACGCAGCCACAAACTGCTGCCAGAGTATCAGGTGCATGGGGTCCAGTAGGTCGCAGTGTTTGAATCAATCTCAGTCAGCGGTAAGCGTCGTTCGGCTCTTTTGCTTTGGCTAAAATCAATTAACAATTTCTATAATTTCCACAAACTTTTATTAATATCCATTGAAGACCTGTCATCGTCGCCCGACTCGGTTCATAGCTGATTGCAGCCAGTTGGCAGGCCTGGCTAATTGCAACTAGTTGGCAAGCTCAGACACACCTCTCTTTCGCTTTTGTTTTAGATGTGGCATTAATAAACAATTAACTGAAATATTAAACACAGCTTTTTTTTAAATGCTGCAAACCAGTTTTGAATCGAACCGGTTTAATGCATGGAATTCCAATTATATAATAACCATGAACCAAGCCTTAAATCGGATTATTTGGTTAAAGAACAGTCAAACCTAAAATTCAACCGAACCATATATTAAAAAAAAGGTTTGAAACAGCGTTCAGCGTTGGTAAAGCATGGATTTGAACCCGCAACCAAACCAGCGAAAACGTTTTTCGGGCTTGCAGCCTTGATATTCTTATTATATTCCACTTAATCGGTATTTATTTAGCCTTAAGTCTCTAATGACTTTATATAACTAGCGAAGCGTTCGTAACACAAATTGGCATCGATAATTGCCAGTTGCCGGCTGAAAATTGCATTTGCGGAGGCAAACTTGACAACCCAAAATCACAACATGTCAGCCAATTAAAGAGTCGTTGAAAAGCGCCAAGAAATGCATTTGCATGCATAAATACACAAGCCAACAAGAGCAACAAAAACAACAACCACATTAGTAAATACATATTGATTAAGCAGCAGAAAAAACGTTTTGCGATTTTCCATTTGTACAAAAACTCGTTTCATGCCGTCCAAGTCCAATCAATGGGGCATATTGTTATTATTATTTATGTATCTGTAACTCATGGCAGCCAACAGCTACAACAGCAACAACAATGAGGGGAACCTGGAGAACAAGTGCACATAATAATTATAGCGCAGAAAAGTAAAGCGAATTGCCAAGATGCGTATTGCTCGTATCTGGTAATTGAAGAACATGAATGAAGCCAACTAAATGCACACGCAGTCTGCCATTTTTAGCATCGACAAACACTCAGATACATTTGCATACGATCTTGGGCATGAATGTGAATTATATATACAAGCATGCCTCTGTTTTATGTATCTGTTTTTATGCATCGATGAGGTTTAATTACATTCTATCATCTGCTGTTGAGGGCAATGTGAAGCTCACTCAGCTATGAGCATGTGTATGCGTACTCTTACGAGTGTATTCATGAATAGCCACGTTGCCACTAGTAATTAGCTGCCAACCCTTTGCAGCAGGTATAACCCATGTTTACTCTTGAAATCGAGTGTGCTGATGTGAATGGGTATGACCAGTATTATGTTAAATATGAAGCAAAGATTAATTAAGTTATAAAGAAAACAAGTAGAAGTGCTTTAGTTGGGTGAGGAGATTCCCTGAACCCAGCGCCGAGTTGCCGCTGTAAGCAATTTAGCCTCCTTCTATGTATTTATATATATATATATATATATATATAGATATACGGCAGTCTTTTCATACTATACGAGCAGCCACCCAAAATTTTGTATATCTAACTATTATAGTTCTCGACTTGTTTTGTCTCGTGTCTCAAAATAGATTTCTATCGATTTTTAAAAATAGGACGAGATATCGGGATATCGTGTTACGTATGGTATACGAGATGTCTGTCTATAGCTCAACGGACACCCGGACGGACACGACTAAATCGATGCACAAGCCAATATGAAGAGTATATTGGCTTGTGCATCGATTTAGTTGTGTCCGTCCGTACCCATTTTTAATAAAAACGAGAAAGAAAGGCTATCTTTCGCACGCCGAAGATTTAATACCCTTGCAGACCCAATCTTTTCATAATGCATATAGTGATTTGTTAATGCCGAGTTTGGGCAAGATATCTTGATAAACAAAAAAGGTTTTTAATCAAAAACCTAGTTTTCGACCGATCGTTCCTGTGGCAGCTATATGATATAGTGGTCCAGTTGGTTCTCACATATGTGCTGCGTTCAACAGAAAGACGGAGTTCTGCACAGTTTCATTCATATAGCTTTAAAACTGAGGGACTAGTTCGCATAGAAACAGACAGACGGACAGACGGTCAGACGGACAGACGGACAGACGGTCAGACGGACATGGCTATATCGACTCGGCTGTTGATGCTGATCAAGAATATATATACTTTTTGGGATCGGAGATGTCTCTTTCTCCTGCGTTACACATTTCACGACAAAATTATAATACCCTCTGCAAGGGTATAACAATTTTCAAGCAATTATCGTAAACAGAATATTTGCCTTATAGTTAAATATTCAATATTAACAATTGTTTTAAAATATCTTATATTGATTGATTTTCAGTTGCTACGCAACTATTTTAAGTAAATTCTAAAGCAGTTTCTTTAAGCAGTAGTCGACACACTTATTCTTTTAATTGGGATTATAAAAAAGTTGGAGGTTTCATAAGCAAAACTTGCTTTAGCAACATATTTATGATTGCCTTGAGGTCAACATTATAAAAGATATCTTAGCATTTACAGCACTCGATAGGTAGAATCAAGCCTATAATTATATTGTGAGTTAAACTGGACCAAATAGGTCCATCAAAGAGTGTTTTATATATTTATGTGTGTATGTGCCTATATCATTGTTGAAACGTGCAGAGTCAATAACCTTCTGGGCTTAAACAACCTGGTGGCCAATTAAAATCAGTTTCTCGAATATTTCTTATCGCTTGGCGCTGTTTCACTTTCGTGTACAACTTAATTTTCGATGGCAAATGTCTTCATTAAATGCCAATGCGCCGGGTTCTGGCATATTACCATTTGAGTGGTCACATTAAAACAACAAACCCACCCAATTCAGCCCACTAAAAAAACAGAACTGGTATTAGCGAAATATTATTAAAATGGCTCCAGGTGGCAGGCAGAGCAAATACTAGAGAGTGGCGGCAGCGGGGTACTAGCTGCAACTGCATGTTCCGGCGGCCAGAACAGGCCCTGATTAAAATCCAGCGGCAACAACAACAAGAGGCATCACGACAATTACAACAACAGCATGTTAACAATTATGCAAATTTGTGTGCATGTTGCGGCG